CCCACACACACACACACACACAGAGTCAGGGCTCCTAGCCTCTGGGTTCCTTGCCTCTTCACTAGGCTCTCCAGGCCTCCCAACTACCACTCGGGTGCAGGCTGTCACATGCCCCACTGCACCCCACTCTACACCTTTGCTTCCACTGAAGCCCATACTCTGCCCCGCTATGCTGGGGCCTGGGGTCACACACACACACCCCACAGGCTCAGGTGGCCGCAGCCATGCCTGGCCCTCAACTACCTCCAATGTTAATTGACCCACCTGAAGGTGGGGGCTGGGGCTCAGGTGCCCCTACTTGCCTTCCACCAGGGTGGTAACTGGCCTGGCATTTCTGTGGGGCTGTTCTACCATGAACAGCCCCACCAGGCCACCCATCCCCAGCAGTGTGCAGTTTTAGGTCTTGCCTAGGACCAAGAGCCTCCTAACCATCCCCATCAACTCTTGCCCTTATCTCCCGGTATTACCAGAGCAGCAGCTCCACCAGGAGATGTTGTTTCCTCGGTGCCAGGCAGCAGAGTGCTGCCTCCAGCTCTGCTGGCCTGAACTTTAAAGTGGGTGCTCATCAGAGCTGGGCCGCACCTGCCGGTTGCCTCTTCAGGCTCTTAAAGTAGCAGACACCAGAGGTGCTCTGCCACACACCTTCCTCCCTTAGAATAGTTCCTGGGGGAGGCTCCCCCTGCCACACTGTCCAATCCTTAAGTTTCTTACCTCATCTTTTTAGATAAGGTACTCCAATTCTATTCCGTTTTTGGTTTCCTTTCCTTCTAGGGAAACTACTGTACCTGGATAGCCCACTATCCCAATTGCAGCACTCACTTTTCCCAGTGCCTTATACGGCACTCTGTACAGTTTAATTGCTTAGTTCCGGGAAGGCCTAAAGTTATGCTAAGAGCCTGAGCATAACTCAGTTTGCCCACTACAGTCCTGGGTCTAGGGCCAAAACACAGCCAGAACAGCAAGTTTTCACCATGCAGGAGAAGAAGCCCAGGCTTCCTCAGCTGAAGTTCTGTACCAGCAGAAAGAGGTTTCCAGGTCAGTCCAAGATGATTTCACTACTCTGTGTACCCACCTACATTTGCTGCCTCTCTGGTGACATTCTGACATTAGAGTGCTGACCCACTAAGATGATGCTCTGATGATATGAACATCGTCACCATCTATGGCCCTGTACAGACGGAAGAGCCCCTCCTCCCACAGCAGACTGTTCCTGGTCTCCTCCTGGAATGTATTTGTAAGGTCACTTTCACCTGGTTTCCTCAGAGTTCATCAGGCCAGCTCCAACAACATTGCTACCGTAGTGCACAGAAGCAGTACAAAAGCTTAGAGGATTCCAGAATGTGTCTGTGAATGAGGTACTGCATGAAGGAAGCTGATAACTCTTGCTTCTGGGCACTACAGAACACTCCCCATCCTCCACCACTCCTGCTGATGCCTCACAGGTTGTGTAGGTTACTTGGTAATAATTAGTGCCGCAAACTGAGACCCTGTCCATGCTATAGGGATATCAAAGATCCTATTAACCCCTTATGGACCAAGGAATTTGCTTCACTGCCCTATTTTCTTCCCACTGTGCAGCTTGCTGTGTTATATTTGATTGTTCTCCACCCCAGAGACGGCTGCATTTCAGTACTGCTAACATAAGAGATCATGGAGCACATGTGATACTGCTTACCTTATCATGTAAGGTAATCATATAAAAATGCTTCCCTTTTTATAGCACCATTCATTCCACAAATGTCCCAAGGTGCTGTGCATATTTAACAAACCAATCTACTACACCATGCAAAAGGAAATCTTCGCTTACCATGAAATGCAACTACTTGTAGAGTGAGTCAATGGTCATCTGGCAACCCTACATAACAGGGTTTGGTAGGAACTAAAAAATTTTGCCATATTCGTTTGAAACTGCAGGTTAGGGGGAGAAGACATTTACTTTGTGCATTCTCTATCTACACAGGAATTGCAACAGGCCATGGATTCTTCAGGGAGCAGGTGGATCAGGGCTTATATTTGTGCATCCCTTCTTGGAGAATTTAGTACTTCAAAAAGCTGTACAATGAACTAAAAGGAGAGCAGAAAGGAAAGACAGTAATGAGGAAATCATGGGTCTGATAAGAATCTGCAGCTGAGACACAGGCATGCAACTCCATGTGCTGGAGAACAGTTTTTGTGCAGGCAAAGGTGTGGGTTAGTTGTCAGGTTGTCTTTTTTTCCCTTCTCCTCTTCTACCTGGCTGACATGTTTTTTCATGTCATAAGCTGGATCAAAGGGAAAAAGATGTAAGCAGCCGAAACAGACTCCCTTGTGGGAACAGGAACTGAGTGCCGTGGCCAACATCTCAAACAGATTACTGCCTGGGAGCAGGAACTGAGAACTGTCACTCTGATTAGTCAATCAGCAAGGGAAGAAAGCAAGTGCCCAGCAAGGCAGTCTGGGCATGCAGGAGCCATATAGGAGACCCAGCCTAAAAAGAAAATGCAAACTTCTCTGCCATGGCAGCTTCTAAACTCTCTTCTGTAGGCTGTTGACGGAAAGGCTGTGGGACAGAGATGTTTGGGAGAATATTTTGGTCTCTCTAGAAACAGGCCAGCATTGTAAGAAACCTCTTAGTCTTGGAAGCCAGTGGGATCCAGGTTGCAAACTCTGTCCCCCTTCCCTCCCATTCCTGCACAAAGTTGGGGAAATATTCATCTAAGAAGAAAATTTTAAATTCTATGTATTCAGTGAAAATCAAGTATGGGAGCCAGAGTCTTTCCTCCCCTGAGAGGACCTGCATTCTAATCAGGTCCGTATTAACAAAGGGTCTAATATCAGAAACAGAGACCATAGAACTCCCATGGAAGTCAATAGGAGCCATAGGTGCCTCTTATAAGGGGACTACCAAAGTGACCTGGGCAAAAACAAGGGATGGGTCTGAAGCTAGAGACCAGTGGGTCAAGAAACCAGATCACAAAACCCCTTGCACCCCTGCTGCCAGACTCAGAGAGGAAGCCAGAGATGAAGGAGCACATGGGATGAATTCTTCTTTCAGACACTAGGGACAGTGCCTCCTGACACCCTGACAGGGCACCAGAGGGGAACATTGTCACCTGTTGTCCTCATTCTGTGGAGAGATGTCCGGCTAGCTCATTTACTGTCACACTGGCATCTTTCACCAGGATGAAAAATGCACTGAATAAGGTTGTTTTGCCCCCAGTGCCTCTTGGACCAGAGATCTGGCAGAAACACTGATGGAAAGGGGAAGAACCACAGACCCACTTTCCTCCCCGCCCAAAAAAAGGATTGCTGCTTGGTGCCAAGAGATGGGGAAGAGGAATCAATGGCTTGCACGAGTGAAGGTTTAAAAAATCTGATCTCCCTAGGAGCAGAGATTTCAAGTCTCATCAACATCACCTCCATCCTTCTTTCCCATGAAACTAACAAATCCAGGAAACAAAAGTCTCGTTACTCACAGCCGCCTGAGTCACCCTGCTCTCCAAGAGCCTCCCAAAAGTTGTTATTTCATTTATGCTGTAATTGTGGAGCACACATTGAATTCAATGACAAGAGAGCTTATTCAGACAGGTGGCTATTACTCTTGCTGAGAGGCAATCACCCCCTCACTTGAGCCACCTGTGATTGCAAGAAGCTGCATTTAGTTGAGATGTGTCTGCATTGATTCTTCTAGGCCTGTGTCCCCAGTTAGCTACAGCAACAGCTCCCCAGCTCTCCAACTGGCTGCAGATCAGCCTCAACAGAGATTAGAACAGCCTGGGGCCTGCTCTGAACTGAGCCAGCTGGTAATAGCTCCCTAGGGGCTGTCAGAAGCAAAGTACATCTGCTATGCTTCTTTCCCATGCCACTATGTTGGGGGTTGCAAGGGTGAGGCAAGTCAACACACCTGACTTCTATGCCCATTTCCCCCACTGGGGCTCTCTGACTTGCCCTGCCCCTTTCTTTTAATCAGGAAGATTTTAGATTGTTTCTGCTCTCACCCTGCAAGAAGAGTCTGACTCAGATGTTAACCTTATACAAACTGTGAGCAGGTCAAATTTATTTGCAAGTAATTTACATACAGAAGGAGTTAGTTGAGGAACCTCAAAACCACAGTTTACAGACTCTTAGCTGCCAAAGAAGGTGGTGCAAGAAACAAACCGAAGGAAACGGGGAGGGGACAATCCAGGACCCATGTTGCTCTTTGCATGAGATGCAAGTCTCAGGGGAGGCAGAAGGGACAGTCCCTGGGTCATAACTCAGCAACTGTGGGAAGGCAAAGAAGAAAGTTCCAAATCACTAGAAATCAGCTAATGTTAGCTGGAGAACAGGGCTGAATCAGCAGCAACAGGAAAGAGGAATGCTGCAGGCTACTGTCTAATATCTTTATTAAGAATTTGGAACATGGGATTGAATGCACAGATAGCAAATTTGCAAATGACATCAGGCAGAGTAGAGTTGCAGACACTCTGGAGGGCAGGATTTAGGATTCAAAAGGACTTTGATAAGTTGGAGAAATGGTATGAAATCAATCAAATGAAATTTAATAAGGATACATGCAAAATCCTGTACTTTGGATGAAACAATCATATATATACAAAATAGAGACGGGGAAACAACCGGCTGGGCTGAGGTATTGTAGAAAAGGACCTGGGAGTAATAACAGACCACAAGCTGAACAGTGTGCCCACAGCACAACAGTAAAGGCCAACAGGACAGTGGGATGTATAAACAGGAGTATCACTTGCAAATCAACTGGGATTATGGATTCTTATCCCATTACCTGGACTAGCTGTCAGCTGTCATGTGTTAAGTGTCTTGATCATCTGAACTAATTACCCATTTTAGCAGCATTCCCTTCCTGTGTCCTTTTCCCTTCTATATATCTTTTTGTCCTGCCAGTTCATTCATAGCATCTGATAAAGTAGACTGTAGCTTCTGAAAGCCCATGACCCTTTGAACCATTTAGTTTCTAACATGTTACCTTGCTCCATCTTCCATTAAGTCATGGGAAATGATTCTTCCACTCTCTCCGGGGTTGGCAAGGCCCAACCTGGAGTACTATCTCCAGTCTAAGCCACTGCATTTCAAGCAAGATCTTGACATATTGGAAAGTATCCAGAAGAGAGCAACCACAATGATTATTAGCCAGGGGATCTGAATTTACAAGGAGAGATTTGAAAAGCCATGATTATTTGGAGAAAACTGGGGGGGGTTAATTAATATTGAAATATTTATTCAAATATTGAAATGGTAGATATAGCGAGAATAGTGACAGACTCTTCTTTGTGACCACAGAGAACAGGACAAAGAGTAACAAGGAGTAACAGTTTTAAATTTTCTGTGCTATAATACAAGTTGGATATTAGAAAAAAAAACTTTCTTACTATGAAGGTGGTTAAGCACTAATGCAGGCTACCTAGGTAGGTTGTGGATTCACCCTCCTTGGAAGTACTTAAGAGCAGGTTACACAAACACTTGGGTTAGACAGGGATGGGTCCGGTCTCAAGCAAGGGTTTGGACTAGATCCCTTCCAACACTATTTTTTTTATAATACTCTTACTCTAGTCCTTCCTGCCACCACAATGAAACTCCTGCTCCTTCCACCCAGCACTTGCTCTGGAGCAAGGAAAGCAGTGTTTTTTGAGGCCATGAAGCAGTCTCCACAGCTTCTAGATGCAGTGCTGCCGGAGAGCAAAAGAACTAGACAGGATCTGGAAGAAAACAGCCCCATACCAGACAAGCCAAGAACCAGAGTTTAGAAAAGCAGTCAAGATTTCTAAGTTTTATTTTTAACAGACAGTGAATTGAGTAAATCATACAAGTTCCCCATGTCTCAGTTTTTGCTAAGGTTTACAAGGTTCCAGTGAGGTAGATAAATAATTTTGTGCCATTCATACTACAGTATGTTGCACTTTTACTGTACTTCCACCCCAAGATTTCAATGATTTTATAAACATCACTTTAGCCTCAAAACAAGCTGGCATAAGTCTACTATCATTATTTTACCAAGAGTGAAACTGAAGCCCAGAGAAGTTAAAGCAACCTGCCAAAGTCATACAGCAAGCTGCTGGTAGCTGTGAACAGATTACAGAAGTCTCGGCTCCTAATGTCTGCTGCTTTAAGCACGAGACTAATGGTTTTCAACCTTTTTAGACTCAAGGCAGCCTTCGGAAAATGCCAGCTCTTAGTTTTTGCTCATTTTGGGGGTATGGGAAAAACTAATAGAGCATTTTTTCTGTTGCACAGAACTCAGAAAGTGCACAGCTGTCAGAATGGTTTTGACACCATGGATTCCTATTTGAAATCTCTGGGTTTATCTTGTGAATGATGTGTAGGTGTTTGCACACCTGACAATACTAATATTGTGCAGCACCCTTAACAGGATCTCACAGCACTCTCCCTGGCCACAAACCACTGCAAATGCTGTAGCAGGAAAAACACCTAGTGCAGATGTGGGGCAGTCCCTGAGCTTGTACTAATATCAAGCACTTACCTTCAAAGTGCATTACCCTGCACCATTCTGCCAGAACACAGGGTGCATCAGCAGTATCCCCACTTCATGGATAGGAAGCCACTTATAAAAAGCTGAAAGGATTTGTCTAGTGCCATCAGCAGATCAGCAGCAGAGCTAAAGGAAAGCTCTTAGCTTCCAGCCCTTTGATCCGGCCAGCTTTCCTTCCACCTGTATGTTCACGTTCCGTCCCTTCCCCTTCCAGGTTCTGCAACACAACAAGCCTTTGACTTGAACAAGAAAATAGGGCAGCATTGGAATCACGCTACAGACTTAATCTTTCACGCCACCTGCCAAGAAGCCAGCAGGCAGGCAGGTTGGTACTAACTTAAACCTCCACACTTAAACCATGAATGCCCACCCAAGGGCTGGCCAGCTTTTACTCGGAGCCAAGACAACAAGTGTGGGCTTAGGTTAGCCACCGCACTGCTGCAGCTCACCCAGCCCCACTGACGGGAAGGAAAGCCAGCTCTCCCTGGCACTACAGAAGGGAACTGAGGCAGGCTGGGGATCACTCGCACCTCAGCCCTTTGCCCGAGCTAGACGGGGCTGAGCAAGGCAGGAGACGGCAGCAGCACGGAGCCCGCTGCTCACACCTTGCCACCTGCGCCCGCCCCCTCACGCATGCGCACCTGCACGCCTCACCTGAGCCCCGCCGGCCGTCGCCAACTTCACCCAGCGGCCAACCACCGGCCCGCTCCACCGCGCATGCGCCGCC